CCTATCAATTTTTAAATAAAAATAACTGTATAATATAAACATTTAGGAGTCCTTGTTGAGTTTTTGAGGCACGATAAGATATATATTTTAAAATTTGGGAGAGATGATATGGATTTTGAAATCTGAAATGAAATTATTTGGAGAGATTTAAAATCATAATTTAATAAGAGAAAGGCGAGGGTGACCGACTACAGAGGTGGTTGGCGGTGACAATAGTAGTCGCTGATAGAGAATGGTCAATGGTTTAGAGAGATATCAAATCCTCATATTGATACCTCCCAATATTGAAGTGTTATCGAAAGCCTCCATTTGGATGATTTATGATATCTTCAAATATCAAAGTCGATATCTCTTTTGGCTTCAACAAACACACAAAAAAATCTAATATCAGAAGATATCAAATTCATGTCTTGTTTGTTCACCAAATACACCTTTACAAATAAAAAAAATCATGTAAGCCATATAATGAAAGTGTTTTAGCAGTCAACTTGATGTAAGAGATGGGAATGAGTAATGGAGTAGATGTGTATTCGGCCTGCAAATTCAGGCATGGGGGAGAGGTTTGTTCTCTAGTTCTCCCTTTAGTCGTTTGGGCTATATGCAGTGCCTCACTCCTAGTCTACTACCCACTCCAAATCAGAAGCCATTCATTGTCACATCTGCGCTGACTGCACTCATCATCTCACACACTTCACGCCTATAGCATATCACATATTGTAATGATTACATATTTATTTTTTAATATTTAAAAAAGTTATGTTTTTTTTATATTTTTTATAAAAAACATAAAATAGTTAAATTTTAATACAAAAATATTAGCAGGACATAAAGTCAAAATTATATATGTAATATCTTTTGAATTATCATTGGATAGATCTTGTGAAAATATTTCTGATGACTTATTATTTATCAATAAATGACTAACATAGAAAAATTTATTATCAAAATAAACATTCAAGTATAAAAAAAATAAAAAGAATGATTTTATATTAAAAAAGAAAAGAAAAGTATCATGGTTACGTCTTTCGTGGGCATGGCCACGCAACTCAATCACACCACTCATTCAAGTAGGGGAAGAGGGTGTTCATGGTGATCACGTGCTGAGGTGACAAAGCCACAGAGAATCACCTCTTTTCTTCTATGAGGTGATTTTCTGTGGTATTTATGGTATACATCCATATACATGATATTTATCCTACATCCGCGTGAATACTCATTTTTTATTAACTTAATATGGAGTACTTATTTTCGAATAAAAAGTCATTTTAAGTATAACTAAACCTTAGAAAAATAAGAATCTAGTTACTTAAAATTGAATATTTAATTATACATAAATGTATACTCAATGCTGATTTCCAGAAACCGGGTTGTACCCTATATATTGTACTCCATCCGTCTTTAAAAGATTGACACCGTTTAATTTTTTTGGTCAAACTGCGTCACCTTTGACCATGAATTAAACATAATTTAAAATAATAGAATATTATAAAAATTTGATATCTCAAAACTATATTTTAAAATAAACACAATTTAGCAATATTTACATTATAACTGTTGCAATCTTTTGGGGAGAGAAGGCGTATAATGTACTCCATTTTTTTAAAACAAAGGAGCATATTCTTTTACTATACAATGACAAAGGGAAAAAGTGAGATGTGACATTGGTTGTTGAAAAAGGAAAATTTTCCTTTTAAATACGATCAATATCATCTTCTTTCTCAGTGAATAATTAAATCATTACTATTGAATATTTCTCTCACCTTATCTTAACAAAAATGGCTTTCCAATCAAGTCTCGAGTTCTTTAAAGACAAAGCTTGCGGATATTGAGAGGGACCATACCGTAGTTGCCATTCACGCCCGAGCCGTTCGTGTCTATGAAACTGCTTTGTTTGATAGAACTGGAGAATTGATGGAGGTCTTCTACCACGACGATGAGGTGTCCTTTTTTCTTATTATACCATTTATACATTCTTGGAAAATCATTTTATTTCACAAACTTTTTTATTAAATCATGTTTGCTTCTATTTCATGTTACAATTATCCTTTTTATTTCATAAACTTTTTTTGATACACCATAACACACACTTTGGTGAAGAATAATACGGAATAGTCTCATCAAGAACATACACCGTTAAAAAATTGATATTTTTAAACACAATTACAGTCCATGAATGAGACTCATGTTCAATTTTTCTGATGTTTATTCTTGGTATATAATAGGGTATGAGAATTCATTCTCAACTCAAGAAACCGGCCTTACAATGAGCACTATAAAGTGAGACGTACTGTAGAAGGAGGTGTTGGCTAAGTACAAAACTTGGTGCTACGTATCGCTTGCCTCTGTCTAATATTTTCTAATTTGTATAATTCGCACTCTAAGAGTTTGGGTATCATTACTTAAACTAATATTTTTCAATCGTGGTTTAATCCTATGTTGGCAAAGTATTATGTTATTATCTTTTCTTTTATTCATTTGTAAAATGTTGGCATGAAATTTTCTTATATTATTATAATCCTATGTTGCTTAACTAATAAATATAATGTGTCATATCTCTAGTTAGATTGTACTGATCAACGTGCATCCATTAATGCTGATTTCAATTTATTATTATTACATAGAGTCAATAAATATCAATTACAACAATAGGTTTAAAGTAAGAATGATCATACATAGAGCCATGAACCTAGAGATGTGTAATAAACATTAGGAGGCCAATAATTTTAGGAGCAAAAAAATTTAAACAGAATTTGGTACGCTCAAGGTAAATGTGCGGTGATTAAAAGTTTTTTTTGAAAGAAATAAAAATGGATAAATTAAAATTTTAATTTATTATATATATATTATTATATATAGTCATTCAAATACTTTTTGCAGTGGAAAGTAGACTTTTAAATATAGATAGAGGAAATAAATAACATTACATTTAATAAAGGCAATCATTAACATCCCATTTATGGGCTCGAGATTATTGAGAAGAGAAATAATCTCGCAATGGCCAACTCACTACATTTGCATTTAATACAGTTTAAATAGAGTCTTAGGAAACCAACAACCACATCCTTTCATTAGTCCAAATATATGAAGTTATTGAGTATTTAAGAAGTCATGTAAAATCCATTAACTCTTATTTACTCTTCCACACCTACCCAGCTTACTTACTCTTCCACACCTACCCACCTCACTTTTTCCTCTAAGACTTATTCAACAGTGAATCATGAGTAAATTCTCAAAATAGTCCTTTGTAATAAGGGATTTTCCCAAATTAGTCCTCAGTAAATTTTAATTACCTACATGGTCCTCTATAATTGAGATTTATTTCCAAAATAGTCCTTTGTAATAAGATATTTTTCCAAATCAGTCCTCAATAAGTTTTAATTACCTAGGTGGTCCTCTATAATTGAGATTTATCCCCAAGATGGTCCTTCATAAATAATGTTACTCAAATGAGGATTAATTGAGGTTATTTTTTCTGCTAAATTTAGAATTAATTCTTAAAATAATCATTTATAATGAAATGCTTTCCCAAAATGATTTTTCTAATTAAAGATGTGTATTTGATTTGAAATTTAAAAGATTTTTTTTAAGTTTTAAATAATTCATAAATTATTTATACTCAATGTATTTTTTAAATTTTACATTTAGTTGTACAGAAATGATTGTTTCAAAAATATACTTTAAATTTGGATGATCAAAATACCAAAATATCTCCCAGTTAATCCTCATTCGAAGATTGATTTGGGAAAACACCTTATTACAAAGGACCATTTTGAGAATTTACTCATAAATAATTTATGAATTATTTAAAACTTAAAAAATCTTTTAAATTTCAAATCAAATACACATCTTTAATTAGAAAAACCATTTTGGGAAAGCACTTCATAATAAATGATTATTTTAAAAATTAATTCTAAATTTAGCATAGAAAAAATAATCTTAATTAATCCTCATTTGAGTAACATTATTTATGAAGGACCATCTTGGGGATAAATCTCAATTATAGAGGACCACCTAAGTAATTAAAACTTATTGAAGACTGATTTGGGAAAATATCTCATTACAAAGGACTATTTTGGAAATAAATCTCAATTATAGAGGACCATGTAAGTAATTAAAACTTATTGAGGACTAATTTGGGAAAATCCCTTATTACAAAGGACTATTTTGGGAATTTACTCGTGAATCATTGAAGGAACTTAGTCACGAAATATATATTTCAACAATCAACATTGGAGACTTATTTACTCTTCAAGAAAGATAATCTTTGGTATCATAAATAAATGCATTATACTATTCCTCAAAAAGATAATTATGTGTAGACTCCAATTATTTGATAACCATTTTTGATAAATAAGTACACCTCGATGAACAACTATTTTAAAATGGACTAAACCAAACAATACCTTTTAATGAATTACTCTTTATGTTAAGCAAGACTTATTTTTAATAATATTGGATTGCTATTGTTAAAATTGCTTAGGAGAAATTTCACGTGATTTGAAGTATGAGGAAACTAATTACAAGTGCAAGATTGAACTCTAACAGGCATTTAGACAATGATATTGACAAAGCTATGCATCCTTCCATATATCACTATTGATTATAAATGTAATTTTAACTATGTATGTCGAAATTCAATTCAAACTTTAAGTTAAATTTATACTCTCTCCGTCCAACAATAAAGTTCCCACTTTCCTTTTTGGGATGTCCACAATTAATGTTCCCATTACTTATTTTGGCAAGTTTTTTTATATCAAATGACTTTGTTACCCTCCCCTACTTTTCTTCTTCATTCTCGGCAAGTCTATCCAGCGCCACCACCCAATCCTTATTTCTCCATCTTTCTTCTTCTCTCCACCAATCATCGTCATCTTCTTCTTTCTTTCTTTTCTTCTTCTTCTTCTTCTCATTCTTTCTTTTCTTCTTCCTCCTCTTTCTTTTCTTTTATCGTCATCATCATCTTCTTTTTTCTTCTTCTTCATCTTCTTTTATCTTTTCTTCTTTCCCCTTTTGATTTTGGCCTACCACCCATTGATTGGGAGCGAGGCGGCGATCGAAATTAATGATGGAGCAGCGAGCCGGCGGTAAGATCCGCTCCTCTTTCGACATTGCTGGCAGTGATGGTATAGATCTACAAATCCTCTGATGCTCCCATGTTCGATTTGCAAAATCTTTTCTTCCGCCTCAGTCAAAACCTTAGATCTGCTCTTTTTACGCCATTAAAACCTTGCATCTACTCTTTTACCGATGTGTTGTCTTCCATGAGAAGATCCAGAACAGATTTACTTGGGTGGGGATTGTGGAGGCGATGGTGGCTACAAGTGCAAGAGAGGTCATCTGCGATGGTGCCGGAGAGTCAGCGGCGGCAATGCCGGAGAATCGTTGTCGGCACTGCAGGGGAGTCGTCCGCGGTAGCTTTGACTCCCTCCGTCCTTGGTGGAGAAGCATTAGGGGTAGTAGACATGTTAAGGGTAAATTAGGAAAGTCAATACAATTTTTATCATGCATTAATATGCGTGCCCGGTCAAACCGGGAACTTAATTAATGGACGGAAGGAGTAACATATAAGATTTTAAACTGGCATGAAAAAAATCTTTACGAGTGCTGTAATTAAAAAAACAAGAAAAATAACCTTTTTTGTCAAGTATAGTGTATGGGCATTCAAGTGTTCTTTTTTATTGAATGTTTTTCAATTTATTCAATAATAAATGCAAAAGGTGATAGATTCATTACCTCACATTTTTGTCATTCTCTTGGTATTAGTAAGAAGCCTGAATCTTGAAACATAAATAGTCATTTATAAAACTAAGTTAAAATATTATTTTTTAAATATGTATTGTAAAATCTTAGTATTGAAATTTTTTACCTTTTGTTTTTCTTAAATGTAACTAAATGTTCCTACTTTCCTCTTGAAATTCTAGACGATCATCATACATATCCATGAAATAAAATAAAGTACATTAATATCTATATTTAGGATGTTAAAATCACAAAAAATATTGTAAAATAATTGGTAGTGCTTTTTAACTTAATCAAATTTAATGCAACAACAATAGATATGTTACCTCTCATTCTTTCAATTGTATAAATTTTGTACTATTAGTAACCACCTACATACAATCATGACAAGAAAATAATAATTTGTTTTCTGAAATAATTTTATTTTAAACATAACACATATAATACGATAAATTTAAATAATTTAAATTATTACCATTCTATTTCAAATTGTAATCGAATGCTGCTCTTCTCTCTTCAATCACCACATGATGAATATGGTATACCTCGACACAAATTTAAAAAGAATGGTGATAAATATGATCATGTGGAATGATTTTGTAAATTTATTTAAAAGTAAACATTACATATATATAAGATGAACAGAAATTCTAATGGAACACTGCTCTCTTTACTCTTCAATTACCACATTATTATGGTGGAGTTCAACAGAAATTGTTTAATTTAGTTAGTGTCTAGTCTTTGTATTCAAAAAAGATGGTGACAACATGAGCAAGAGACCTATTGGTATCCTATCTAAATAAATTACTTTCTAAAAATTAGGGATATCTCAAAAAAATATTTGAAGCATACAAAATAAAAAGAACAATCTATTAATAACATTGAACATTTATTATAAAAACACATTGCATATTGGAAGATACTAATATGTATTCATTTTTAAGTGTTTCTTAATTTGTTTAAAAAAACATAATTCATATCTCCTTTAAATTTAATTTAATAATTTTTTTTCAAACAGTAGTCATTGATCTACTACTGATTTTAGAAATATAAAACATGCATCAGCCCTAAACCAAGAACCATTACAAGTAAATACACATTTCCTTAAATCAAATTGATCACTGAATTAAAACAAAAACATCAAACAAATGACAAAATTCTTTTTTGAAAAATGATAATCTAGATCTTATGTGCAATTTAAAATAAGATAATCTAAATGAAGTATTTAGATATTTCATGCATCAATCCATCACTTATTTCATAAAAAATAGGCATCAAACTCGCCACAAAGATCGTTTAAAAAAATATATAATCTAAAGAAATCTATGGAATTTCAAAATAGAAATCCGTAAGATGTAATTAAAAGATAAACATACCTCTCCCATCCATTGTGTTCCTTGTGACCGACAAATTGCAACATGTAATTGTTGAGATCTGATCTCAGACGATCTAGATTGTTGAGATCGCGTTCTAATGGTGTTGTCGTTGCCCTGTATTTGAAGATTTTGCTTCTTAGCCGATGAAGATCTAGAGAGAGAATAATAATGAGGGGATAAGATAGGAACGGAGAGAAAGGGACCAAATGAGATCTCATAGACCACGACCCATTTGTGAAGTAATAATATTGCGGGCTGGGCTGCGTTTTGTATGGGATAAGCTAGTATTTTTCTATACTCTGGACTGGGTTGTTTTTTTGATCAACATGTTTGGTTTTAATAAGGGCGGTTTGTTTCAGCCTCTTAATGGTTCAGATGTCTGAATAGTTCAGCACTTAATGGTTCAGACTGTTTGTTTCAGCCTCTTAATGGTTCAGATATCTGAATGGTTCAGACATTTGCCTCTGAATGGTTAAGTATTATACAGAGTCTGAATGGTTAAGACCTCTTATCTGAATTGATCAGACATTTGCCTCTGAATAGTTAAGTAATATACTAGCTCTTAATGGTTCAGACCTCTTACTGTTCAGCACTTAATGGTTCAGGACTCTTACTGGTTCAGCACTTACCTATTCAGAAGTTGCCAAACAGCCCCTAAGTCTTTAACATTTTTATTAAATAATATCTACGGAGTATTTTGCAACCTAAAAAATTAGAAATTCTATTAATAATTTTTAATTTACCTAATTATATAGAATTTCATTAGAAATCAAATTTTAGTTCATTGAAATCATTAATGTTAGAAACCTTTGGCCATTACGTTAAATCGTAAATTCTTTTTTTGATCTTGCGATTGTATTATTGTATTCGAAATATAAAATAATAATATCTACCACAAAATAGTAACATGTACGTGTAAGTTCGTGGGGAGCGCAGCGGAAATCACCAATTAAGAGCTATGCAAACAAATCAATCAACTATCTTGTAAAGAAGATACTGCAGCACTGTCACACTCTCTGTCACAAGCACACACAGAGGCAGATGATGTAGAGGGCAATACAGTGCCTACTCGGCAGATTGCTATGACTATAAAATGCGTAAAAAATAGAGTAAATTCTATAAAAGGTCCCAAGTTATAGGTCGTTTTACATATTTAGTCCCTACATATCAAATATTGCTAATTTAGTCTCCAATTATTATACCATTTTTAAGAATGGTCCTTTGTTAACGTTTTTGTTAAGAATATGGATAAAATAGTATGTTCATACTTCTCTCTCTCATCAATTAAGCTTCCTCCTTCATCTCAAACTCTTTCGCAAACTCGTCGCTGAGTTTGAAGCTCTAAACTCAAAAGTAAAATGATCATTTCTCTCTCAATTATTAGTCTTTCTAGTGGAACCTAAAATCAAAACAAATAAGCTTTATGGATGAGTTTTATCGATTAGTCTCAAGAAATTGCAAAGAAATAAACGTTAAAATTCTTCCATGAATGTTACTGGTTTCGAATTTAGGTTCCACCAGTCAGACAAACAATTGAGAGAATAGTGTTGATTTCGGTTTTGGGTTCAAAGCTTCAAACTCAGCGGCGGGTTTGGGAAATGAGTGCGAGGGGAGGGAGGAAGTTTAACTGAGGAAAGAAAAGAGTTTTAATTTATAATTTTATCCACGTTCTTAACGAACATGTTAACAAAGAACCATTCATGGAAGTGAATATAATAATTGTGGACTAATTTAGTAATATTTGATATGTAGGGACTAAATATGTGAAATGACTTATAACTGGAGACCTATTATGAAATTTACTTTAAGAAATAACACCTGATATTTTTACGCAGTTCATAGCAACTCTCCTACGTCTGCGGGGCCCATGTCTGTGTAATAGCCCTCCGCTAAATCACTGGATCCAAGTTACACCGGTACATAACAACATGATGAGACACACTTCTCTAAATTGTTATGACAAAACTTTTAATCTAGAATTTCTAACCCGTACCCTGACAGACCCAATTCGGCTTTCACATCTCCACCGAGATCACGAGGACAAACATGTTGTCAGAAGTGCTGGTTCATCTCCTGGTTGTCACTGTAACACCCCGGCCCCCACCCTAGCCGTAAGTATCCGCTCATACGAGGGGAGGGAGGAAGTTTAACTGAGGAAAGAAAAGAGTGTTAATTTATAATTTTATCCACGTTCTTAACGAACATGTTAACAAAGAACCATTCATGGAAGTGAATATAATAATTGTGGACTAATTTAGTAATATTTGATATGTAGGGACTAAATATGTGAAATGACTTATAACTGGAGACCTATTATGAAATTTACTCTAAAAAATAACACCTGATATTTTTACGCAGTTCATAGCAACTCTCCTACGTCTGCGGGGCCCATGTCTGTGTAATAGCCCTCCGCTAAATCACTGGATGCAAGTTACATCGGTACATAACAACATGATGAGACACACTTCTCCAAATTGTTATGACAAAACTTTTAATCTAGAATTTCTAACCCGTACCCTGACAGATCCAATTCGGCTTTCACATCTCCACCGAGATCACGAGGACAAACATGTTGTCAGAAGTTCTGGTTCATCTCCTGGTTGTCACTGTAACACCCCGGCCCCCACCCTAGCCGTAAGTATCCGCTCATACGATTGTAGACTCGCCCCACGAACCAATACAGGTCTTTCCCGCACACTTTGTCTTCACTTGTGCGCGCCCAATGAAAACTTCCCAGGGGGTCACCCATCCTAAAATTGCTCTAGGTCAAGCACGCTTAACTTTGAAGTTTTTTAGGTGATGAGCTCTTGAAAAGAAGATGCACCTTGTTGGAAAAAGTAGTATTATCAATCCTTTTAAGCTCTTCTCATTCCCATCTTGATACGGGGTATTACAGTCACGATCTATTTTTCATTGTAGGACTCCTTTATGTAGATCGTAACTTTTTTCACGCAAGGGAAGCTCTGGGACGCGACGACCGACGGGAACGCTCTACATCATTGTATATTCTTTGTTTTCCCTCTTGATCGCTCCAAGTAATTCCCAGGGACTTGCTGCGTTTTTATATACTTTTCTTAACACAATCCTAGTAGGAATAGGTTAGTAGAAGTTGACTTGAACTCAACTTCCTTAATCTTGATCCACAAGTAGCCTAAAAAGCTAGGATTCCTTAACAAGTACAGGTGGAGTTATTATCATGTAGTCATAATCCCAATAGGTCTCTAATTCAGATTGAAGCTTAAAATCTCATGCTCGGACCTATGATCCCGAACAATGTGTTGCATCATCGTGCTGTAGGATCTTCAGTGTCAACCTCAAAAACTGCATCAACTCTAAAACTATCAACTAAAACATCTTTGTGTGTTGCTTATAAAATTAGTTCTCTAATGGAATGTTTTTTTGCACGTACTATTACTATTTTAAATTTTTATTCCCATACTATCTATGTTTTTTATTATATGATTGAATACATTGTACTTTGTTCATATTATCTATATTGTGACTTTCTAATGCATTGATTGATCAATGTTTTAATGATTTTTAATCATTGTTTAATATTATTTATTATTTATTTAAAACTTATAAAATGATATGTTGGTGACTCAAATTTGACTTCGGAAAATGGGTCTACTTCAAATGGTCTCAACTTCAGTGACTCGCCTTTACATTTTGTAAGTCACCAAGATTTCAAGTTCAATCAATTTCACACCTACTCATTTGAGCAACATAACAAAATCGGAGACTCATTTGATTCAAGGAAAAATGATGGGTGGTAAGAATGCAAGCCACAAAATAGTCATTCATGGACTTTCGCTCCATCCTTTAGATATTCGGATTCGCTTTAACTCTTTAGGTTCCAAAGAAAGCAATTCTCTATTATGACGTATTACGCAATGATAGTTTGCAAAAGTCAAGGACAATCATTGAAGCATGTAAAGCTATTGCTCAAGAAATTAGTTTTTAGTCATGACCAACTTCATGTTACTGTCTCTCGAGTGACCAATCGATGTGGCTTGAAAATCTTGATTTGTAATGATGACCTAATAGTAGGGGTGATCAATTTAACCGAACCGACCGATTAACCGATCCAATTTAACCGAACCGACCACCATTTTAAATTCGGTTTCGGTTTTCGGTTTTAATGTCTAAAATATTCGGTTAATTCGATTATCGGTTTCGGTTTCGGTTTTGGGCAATGTTAACCGAAACCGACCGAATAACTGAGCCCATAATATGTATGTTAAATATATGTAAGCCCAAACTAAATCTTTTAAATTATAGCCCACTTAAAAAACCCAATTCTCATTTTTGGTGTCTGACCCAATCAGACAATCACCGTCTCCCGGCAATCACCATCTCTCGGTCCTCACCAATCGCCAATCACCATCTCCCGGTTCCGGCGTTCCCTAACCGACGCCAATATCTAATCGGAAATCACCATCTCCGTTCTAGCGTCACCCATTAGCAATCACCAAGTTTGTTCATTCTTTTTTGTTGCTAATTACTGTATTATTCTTTTAGATGCATTACTCCCATGTGTTATGTTTGTGGACAGATTTTCTTGCTTTTACTTTGCTTGAGAAATTTGAGAAATGCTTCAATATTTGCAGTAGGCATTAGGTTTTTAGAATGAAAAGTTCGGTTTTTTCAAACCGACTGAACCAGATCGGTTTTTCTCGGTTCGGTTTTTTCCGTTCTCGCTTAAATTTGGTTCTGTTCGGTCAGTTATTATGAGTCCTTTTAATTTTCGGTTATTTCGGTTTTGGGCCGAAACCGGCCGAACCGAACCGATGCTCTCCCCTACCTAATAGATTCAAACAGAACGAGTGTAGTCTACAAAGAAGTGTTTCAAAACATCTAATTGAATTTTTTAGCCCTTCGTAAATAATGTTACTCAAATGAGGATTAACTGAGGGTATTTGAGTATTTTTTATCCGTTAAGTTTAGAATTAATTCTTAAAATGATCATTTATAATGAAGTGCTTTCCCAAATTGGGTTTTCTAATTAAAGATGTGTATTTGATTTGAAATTTAAAAGATTTATTTTTAAGTTTTAAATAATTCATGAATTATTTATAGTCAATGTATTTTTATTTTTTTACATTTAGTTGTACAGAAATGACTGTTTTGAAAATATACTTTAAATTTAGATCATCAAAATACCAAAATGTCTCCCAATTAATTATAATTTCATTAACATTATTTATGAAGGACTATTTTGGGAATAGATCTCAATTATAGATGATCGTAATTGAAACTTATTAAGAACT